TTGAGTAGGATGAAAAGTGACGACTGACAGACTACTTGGAAGCCCGCAAAATGGAGACCTTGATTAAAGTACCCCCAGCAGCTTTTGAGTTCTTTGGTTGCTTCCTTCAACTTTGACCTGCATGCCAGTGGAAAATCTCGCTGGACGCTGACATGAAAACACTTGTGTTGGTATGCAGAATGCATTAACACTTCGCACTCTTCCGGATTAGTAAAAGGCCACGTGAGGCAGTCGGGGTAGAGGATCTGATCTATTGTCGTTGACATTCTCTAGTCTGGTAAGCTTTCTGACAGTGACGCCAGGGTAACTATGTGGTAGGCTCTTAGTGATATACCGTTCGAACCGCTAGTACTCATCTAGCATGCGTCACTGGGAAGAAGTTACATCAGATTAAGTAACCTTTTGCAAGCTACCGCTGTTTTTTACACAAGACAAACTTCAACGTGGCGTGTCAACCCCAACAATTTTAAACTCTACTCCAGATTCGATCGCTTTAACCAAAGGTGACACTGCGCATTTCTTCTTTGAATTAACTGGGGTAATCGGAATTGGCTCTTTGTGCTCTACCTCCAGTAGCACACCGGGTTTAGCACTGTCAGGCTTGGCGGTAGGCATAGTCTTATTCCACTTCCTTTTAGTGGACTCATTAACCCTAAATTTGGCATCGCTTCTGGGAGTGGAATACACAATCAGAGCCAGCCTCGTAAGCAAAATTGTTTGTAGTGTGAGCACTTGAAGTGGCAGTCACCCCTTCTGTCTGATTCCCAAAGACAGCACGTGAAATAGGCTACGACACTGCCTACTAGATTGACATCGATGTAGACTACAGGTTTCTCCATGAACAATTCCACTATTCGATCAAGATATATAAGAAAAGATCGAGTTTACTCGTTTCCTAATCCGACTTTGCGTGGTGCTTCTTTCAACAACAGAACGTCCAGGCTGGCAGTTACGGCAGCCAACACAACTGAACAAATTGCAACCGCTGGTCGACAGCACTTCGTAATGGTCAGAACTCAAGTCACTAGGTACCAGCGGTTGCATACATCGCACCGGATGTCACCAGGATTTACGTCAATGGCTTCGTGCAGCCCATGCTAATACCTGCAACAGCAGATTCAGTGTTCGATGCAGCCGATGACACAATAGTGACAGTATTCTGTGCATCCAACATCACAATTTCAGGACTATCCAACGGCAAAATTGCTCCCTTGAAACTATCAGGAAGTCTTCGACAACGACAGCCCGTCGAATAAGCGCATTAACCGGTGTTGTCCTACTGAAACGAACTGTTTAATGGCAGGACACTTTTTTCTCAGCACTATGATGCGATTTTGAAGGATGAAAGAACAGGTTTGAAATTGCAAGATAGCCACTCATGTCAAGCGTCTAACTGCAAATGAAGCTAAGACAAGAATGCTGGACAATTTATACATCTAAGCGGATTTAGACAATCACTAGTGCAGTGAACTGTGGTGGATTCGGTGGTCATTCTATTGTAAGAGCGCCTGAAGCCACGACAGTGAACAAAATTCTAAATTCGTATCTGTCTAATCAAGCGCATCCTCCTTGCCCACCGCCATCAGCTCAAGTCCAGCTGCACCCTTCGATGCCATATGATGTTCATTAGGAAATAAAAGGACTCAATTCAGACAAACTTAGTCGTTTGCATGTTACCTTTAACAAATGTCTCACTATGGGTGTGATGCCAGATATTGAGATATTGGCGAGAATAACCCTTGTGACTAACATGGATCCCATATCGTCCAATTTCATATACTTCTGCGCTATTCAATGTTTCCGAAAAACTGCCAATTTCATGGATTTTCACTGCCACTCCTGCTGACGATATCTGACAGTTGATGTATAGACATCAGTACTATAAATGGAACGCAGTAGCGCCCGTTGATCATGCCATAGCGTCTGCATGAGGCGAAAGTTGAAAACCAGTACGGCTTTTCCATGAGTATTCAGATACATTTGTCAGCCTGTTTAAGTCAGTGTTGTACACTAAGCTTTCCAAGAACGGAGTTTATCATGTGCAGCCTGTTGCTTGACTGCCTTACGGATTATACTCACTATACCCAGTTAAACGGTAAGGACTCTTATGTTCTCCGTGCTGAATGCGGTGTTTTGCATGCAGCGATCACATTGTCTTTTCTATTATCTTAATGAGTTAAACATATCCTCAAACACCATACCATTTTATTGAATGTAACTAAGCTGACAATGTGGTGCTGGTGTGTATGGCTTCAAGCGTTCACGGTTTCCTGTTGCTCCAACGTGGATTATGAGATCTTGTATAATGTCCTTTATCAAGATTCCCTATTCACAGCGTTGCCGAATTCAATGCTGTAACATTTTCTTTACCTCCTGGAATTAAGTTGTGGTCGCTTAAAGGACTTCCCTTACTCGGACCGTGAACAACGACTCTTTATTCAGATCAAGCATTACAACATCTCTGTTATCCCAAACCTCTCTTGGTTTATGCAGGTTTATGAAACGTATCACAAACTCAGAAGACTTGATGCTGAACGCCTACGTAAGGCCTTAAATGGAATATGCGATTCAGGTTTGACTTCACTGGCACAAGTGCGACCTCGATGCATTTAAAGCCCCACAACCTAGAGCAACCAAACTCGTTAGAGGATTGTTTCATCTCCCCTACCTGAGCAGCCTGCAGTCCCTGAGAGTGTACAGTGGTGAATATCCACGTCAGCAAAGGGACCTCACCATGGTTTACTTAATACTGACGAACCCAACTCATCCATGTCACAATCTTTTGCAGCTGAGCCAAAATACCAAGCTGAGAGGCCATCAGCTCAAACTGGCTGCGCACTACAGTCGACATGATTGTCGACACAACCATTTCTCTCTCCGTGTGTCCCGTGCTTCTAACCCCTTCCAATTCACGTCATGCTTGCCCCTACATTAACGCTTTACAAAAAACGCCTTGATGAAGCGCTTTCAAACATGCATTACTTGATATAGTCCATTTCACTTGGAGGATGAAATAAAGCAAACCTAACCATGTGCTTAACGACCCTTTCCGCAACATGGCGAAGAAGATACATGCATAATTGTAGTTGGGATTAGCATAGATGTGTCGAAAGTAGATGAACATATCACATCGGTCAAATGAAGCAACACACGAGTGCGCGTTGTCATTACCAATTTTAAAGTACTGATTTCCCTTTGTCATTCTAAATAAAACAATGAGAAGACTGGTATTGCGAGATGGAACCATTTCGTGTTATTTGCTTACTCGCGAACTAACAACACAAAATGGAATTACGTGACATAAAAAGCGGAGGGTTGAAACTGGGCACAAAAGAAAATTACCTAGACGCAAGAATAACAGATCAACGAGCTTGATCTTAGGGTCATGATTCCCAAGGAAGCTTTAGGGAGATGAGTAATTTTTTCGGTACAAAAAGGATAGGGCGATGCCGGTTAAGTGCCACCGCTTCGGCAAAGCTCAAAACTTTGGGGTTTTAATTTCGATAGATAACTGTAAATCTTGACCCAGGGTCAACCTGATGGCCTTTTTCGACTAGATGTCTGGCGATAGATGGTGCCGGCAGCTTAGATACCTTTTCTCGTTCTGCTGCTTGTCGTGTCGATAGTTTAGCAATCCGTTTTTGGATATGCTCTCCAATGCGTACCCAAGGATTGCTCTGTTCTGCCAATGTAACTACTTCCGTAGTTACAAACGAATTGGTAAATACAATGGGTTGTGGCGGAGATCGGTTGAGTAGGCTTCACTGGAGGCATAGGCAACTTCCTGGTCTCCCAAATAAGGCAGAATTTGGCGGCATTGAATCTCCGACGAATCGCTGTATGCAAAAGTCATTCAAGTTGGGGGGGCCACGAAATCACCTTTGAAAAGTAATTGAAGATAGACAGGGAGTTTGGGCACAGTAAGCACCCTTGGCCTGTTCTCCTGCAGTTGATTGTGGACTCGAATAAACGCCCAGTTTCAAACATTCTATTTTTCTGTCACGTGCTTTACATTTATGTTGTTAGTTTGCAAGTAAGCAGATAATATGAAATGGTTCCATCTCGCTATACCAGTCTTCTCACCGTCTTATTCAGAATTCTCATCTTTAATTCTCACGGTGCTATAGAACTATAACAGCTCTCTATATTAGTTTGTGTGTCCACATCCCACGCCCTTTTCAAACGAGCGTTATGTAGTAGTGCATCCAAATCAGTAGACGCGTAAAATGATGATCCACTTATTTGTTGCTCCTTTCAAGTTTAATTTGCACTCCAACCATCCTAAGGGTATTGGCAAGTAGATACCTTTTACCCGTGATAAATCGTTGTTCATTGTACTCTTACATTTAGGATGTTTTCAGTAAATCGTAGTTCATTATTCAAGTTTTAACTTCATGCATTCCCTGCCATTGATTATATTGTTCACCTGTCATCTTTTCTGGTCTGCATTAGAAGGACCACATTTTAGTAGTGCGTTTGATAAAATATACTTCTGTAAGCCTTGGTGCACCACAGCTTCTGTATTTAAGTTAAATATTTCTAAACAAGGGCTGCAAAAAGTTTTCTTCCAAAGTCCTTAATGGCCGACTTCACTCATTGCCCAGTGGCTCTTAAGAAACACCATCTTTTTCTTTTGTACCTCTTAAAGTCAGTTTTATTCTCTCGTACTTCGTTGCATCGTAATACTACGTTGTCTTACCTGTATACCCAAAGAAAGTTATAAACAAGTTGCGCGAGCGATGGTAGAGTGACGGTTGTATGCATGTTTCCTTTCTCCCCGTGCTTATGTATTTCTTATTATTGTTATCTTCTAATCCATTCACGTAGTATTGTCGATACTGAAAATGTACACATTTAAGATTATAAAACTTATTTTGCATTGATTTAAACCAAACAATTGTAAACCTGGTGAGAAACTAGTTTCATAAGGTCTAATCATTTTCCGTATCTACATATTCACTGGCAGTACCAAGCTTCACATAACCACATTACTGACTCACATCTTGAAATATTTCGGGCTCCCAGTCAAATTCCGTGGTGCATTTTGTTCCAAAAAGCCGCGTACTTTTCGACCTTTCATGATTCCTGGTGTTTTAGAATACGGGTAGAACAACCATGGCTTACTAACTTTGAAATCGGTAATTCGTAGTGTTCTACTTGTGTTGCCACTGAGGTCTTCACAGGTTCTTTCTCTCTTTTTTGGCCGAAAGCTTCCTCGTGATTGGCAGCATCGCATGCTGCTTGAACTCTCATTTTGGGGTCCAAAATAGACAGCGCATCCTCGAATTGCTGTGGAACGAGAAAAATGGAGAAAGAAACAGAGTCGTTAAGAGAAATGTCTCTCAAATATCATTGCATAGCAACTATAATCCATCTTGGACCACTTTAAGTCTACCTGAGTAAAGCGGCATCTTAAGCACACGTCTAGTGACAATTGTAATATTGCTACTTGCTCTACTTTATCCAGCTTTTGTCTCACGTCTTCACTCGGCTACGGGTCCCTAGGATTTACAGTTAATGACATCAGTGAAGGAGTCCTCGGGACATAGCGCTTTCCACGCCATCCATACCTGGAAGACGTACGCGTCTACTGGATGGCTCTGTTTAGGACGTGCAAATTTATGCTTTAAAGCACTTTTCGATGAACAATGAACGATGATTTAGCACTGGTAAAAAGCATCTGCTTGACAAGTCCCGTCGGGTGGTTGGAGTAAACATTAAAGTTTATATGATCATGGAATAAGTACATCGTCATTTCAAGCGTCCACCGAGTTAAATGCACTAATGCATACCGATAGTCTGAAGGAGGAATGCGATGTGCACACGCAAAATA